TGACAACCCTTGTGCGCAGCTACACAGCTGTATGTTGCTGTATGTTGGTCTCCCTGTGTGTAAAACAGGGATCCTGTTGTGAGCTCTCTCCTCACATAGTGTGCAGCCCAATGATCAAAGGTGCCCTACAGAGCTAGGTAGAGCTGATACTGTAAGTTTAAAGAGCTTTTAGTCATCAAAATGCCAAAGAAAAGCTATTCAATGAAAATGACTGGCTGAGCTGATAACATATGTATTATGCACATCTCACTGGGGCATGAATCTCCATCTTGTGATTCATTTATTGCTCTGCAAATTAACTATAATTTAAAGTGAATAATCTCTCAGCTTTTCTCCTGGTCTTATGTTTCTCAGCATATACCTCACTGCAGCCAATAAATTCTTTTCCATTCCTTGTTCTGGTCGTTGGAATTTCCTATTTTGCTTTTTCTTACACATGCACCAGCCCCAAGTGGCAGGCTACTGACATAGGTCAGGACTGCAGAAATCTCATTGTTTCGGAAGGTATAAAACTGGAAGATCAGAACAAAGATGAAAAGAGATGACACAAGATACACGTGACATTTGCATAAGCAAAACTATTAGACTTCCCTATACACAACATTTCAATGTCACCGTTTAAAACAGCATTATTAGTATCATTATTGTAAAGTACACTCACTTTACTACTGCAGTCACCCAGAAACATTTCCTTGTTCTTCAGCCTTAGAGAAATTTTCTTCAACTGCCTTTACACCCCTTTCTTCAAAGATCACAAATATTTTTCCAGATACTCTCATTCTTTCTCAGCGACCCATTTAATTCAAAAAGCCATTTCAGTTATTTGCTTTCACATTAATGTTCCCTGGGTTTGGTGATGGGCTCAGTGATCAGGACAGACTGGTGTATGTGGCATGTGCTATGGGCAAGGGAGAGGCCCAAATGCTTAAGCCAAGTTCAAGCTTCTTCCCGTCTCCCATCAGCCCAAGCACTGCCCCAGCAGGAGACCCTCACAGCAACAGGAGAACTCCCAATGATACACAAAGACAAAAACTGAGCAACAAAAAGTGAACTATTATTAGGCCTGTTTAGAGGAAGACTGTAAAGCAGAATGAAGAGAGACAAAATGGAGCACACTGAGTGTCTGTACAGATTTGCATTCCAAAGTCAGTGTCTGCATATAAACCAGTGTGTTCAGGGCAGTCTCATATTCATGAGCAAAACTGTCATTGTGCTCTTTCATACCCACTCCTAAGGCACTCTCAGACAGGACTCCTGCTCCCAGCTTTCCTTTGAAACAAGGCTTACAAAAGAGGGTGAAAATTTCAAAGAAAATGCAGATTTATTATAAACAAAGTCCATCTCCATGATACAGTATTTTCCTACTGGCATGTTAGGACCAGCTCAGGATTCCCCTCGGCCCCCCCCAGCTCTCCACCCTTGTTGCACAAAGAGATCCCAAAAGCATTGAATGGATTACCTAATGGTTTCTTAAATTGGGTAAAACTTGTAGTACAGGATTAGTAACTCTTGGCTAATTAACAATGTCCTTCCTTATGGCTTACCAGACCTAACAAGCCAGACTTCGCATTTGCAGCATCTGGGCAAAATGTGCCCAGGTTTTCTTGAACAGTTTTCTCTGTTATTTAAAGCTATATTCATTTATCACATTTACAGAGCATAATCCCATTGCTGTGACAAAAATAATTATTTATTATTTCCAAATCAAAGGGAAATATCTCTGCTTTGTGCTAGGCTCTGCTTATGTTAAACTACAAGGAAAGAAGGAAAAAACAAAAAATGGACATGCTTTATAGAACACACCTGTCCCTAGTTCACATTCCTGAGCAATGCATTGCCTTTACCCATGCCCTAGTGTCCCCTCCCACAGCAGTAGAGATGCACTCCCCACACTCCCGTGTTAAGCTACGCTCCCAATGGCACTGGCCAAGCCGCAGCAGAATTCCCCTTCCACACCACTTCCCTGATGGCTTTAACCTTCTCTCACCCCTATGCCGGTGCATTCTGTGATGGTCACACAGGGCAATGGCTCTAACACATGAAGTAAACCAGAAAGTCCTTAGACATACAAACATGAGTTACGCTACATTCTGGTTTCTAAATAAAAGCAGTATTCTATAGCAAAAGTGGGTTATTTCTGGGGGATTATTCACAGCTTTAGAATAGAACTGCAGATTTCCTTTCTGTTCCACAGTTTATGATACCATGTCCCCAGCCACATGTTGCCCTGTCTAGTGGTTATTCATTATTTCTGAACTTGTGTTCTGGCAGATAAGCTATGCTTTTCTAAATGTATTAGGGTATGTCTGCACCCTACATAATAACTAATGATACTTATATTTACCACTTGCATGCACCGGTAACATTCTATTCTTGTAACATGCTGAGAGATGAAGTTAGGGAGATAATGAAGGGGGGTGGTATTACCATTTTACATTCCCGTTTTATTGCTTGAGAAATTGGAAAAGAGATGACACAACTTGCTCAAGGCTGCAGAGAAAGTCACTGATAGCGACTAAATGAGACTTCATCACTTCACAGCTTCTACTTACCCAGCTATTAGACAACACAACTTCCCCAAGAGCCATTCTCCAGTTACAGCAATACTTTGTGTACCTGATGGCACAGAAAAGAGAACTTGATGGATTCATTTCCAGCATGTACTGCCGGGCAAGACCCTGCACACTGATCATGTTCTTCAATGCACATGTGCCAACAGCCCTACTCATCAGTCCATACAGAGCACTGGCCTGGGTGCCTTTGGTGATGCAGTAGTGTTTTGTGAAATTTTAGAAAAGAGATGGTATACATGCTCCTTTCTCCTAGTCTCAGATCAGTGTCTTGAAGGAAAAGAAACCTTCAGGAGTATGCTTCAGTGTTGCTTGAAAAATAATTTTACTAATTCCTTGTACTAAAACTGATTGAACTCCAGCAGCTAGTATTCATTCTACTTCAGTATTAAATATACACAAAAGTGCTGTTTCAACATCAAGGCAGTGACTGACTGAGGCCCAACGAAACTGCAGTTCTAAAAATCTGAATTATCATAAAAAATAACCCATTCAAGGTGAATATGTATCACTTGCCATAAATCTAATAGGCTAACAAAAAATTATCAAGAGAAGAGAATGTCCCTTCTAAGACTACGGGAATGACGTAACAATACTCCCGCAAACCAACAAGCCACAGGAGCTCACAGTCTATAAAAGGAGGCTGAAACCATCTGCATTCACAAATCACTGCTTGTAGTTTCACCTGCCATTTAAGGAAGTCCTGCACTAAATAATCCTCCAAGGTGATTTATAACAGACTTGACTGCACTCCAGGATGTGTATGAGTCAGAGCTCATTTCACTTGTAGAAATGGTAAAACTTATTAAGGTGTATTACAGTACGCAGCTTTGGTAAGTGAATTGTTGATCCCCTGGAAGAAGTCTACAATGAGGTAATGCCACAGTGGTTTGTGCTATTAATCACACATTCCTTCTGGTGATGTGGCCACACATTGGCAGGATTCTTTCTTACTTATGAACAAGACATTTCTGTAGAATGCAAAATTTCTGCTTTCTGCTGCCTTGTTAATCCAGGTGCAAAGTTAATGAAGTCATTTCAGAAAGAGAAGAAAAGAGAATCCAGCATTTATAGCACTGCTAAAACCACTGTTCACATGCTATTATTGAAGGAAAGAGAATAGGTAGAAGAGCCAGTAAAACATTTCACAATGTCCACACCCTGACCTATAAAGGTTTCTACAGTTTTGCTGGGAGATGCCTGGTCCTGTGGATGAATCATTTAGAAAAGGGAAGGACCTATAAACAGGGAGGCAAGGGAAGAATAAGGCTTGAGAGGCCTGCACCCCCCATCCTCCCAACGTCCACAATTACACACCAAAAGCATCTTAACTATTGACTCTGTTCATACTTCTGGCCCTGTGAAATGACGTGAATTTTCGTTATGCACTGCTTCCTCAGAATTCCTTCCTCAGTATTTCCAACATGGATTCTTATGCTATTTTTAACTGTATGACCAGAGTGAAATAAGCCTCTTGAGCCACACATCCAGGGGCTAGCACAAAAAAATATCTGCCAAAATATCATATGAAACAGAAGCATCAACATCTTACAGTCTGTTGTCCCTGTGACAGCAGCTCACAGCATTAGACATGACCTAATGGTGAAGGAGGTGCATGGCTGCTCCTTCTGGACA